GTGGCATTATGCCACGAATCAACTTCTTGGGATATATATCGATTTTACTATGGAGTAAAAATTTTGTGATACCCACTCGAGTCGAATATCATGCTAAGAGAAAACAAATAGTAATAGATATTATACTTTTTACTAAAGTCTTAAAACTAATAAAATTTATCCTAAAAAAACTAATAAAATTAAATTTTAGTTTAATTAAATTAAACATTAATTTAATTTAAAAATCTATCTATATATTTATATCTATCGTAAATCTATAATTTATAAAGCATAAATACTTATATGGCAACATATTAAAATATAAAAGTGATAGTATTTTATTTTTTCATTATAATTAATCTTTATTTTTCCATTCAATAAAAATATTTTTTTAATTAAATAATAGAATTAAAAAATAATAAATTCAACAAAGGATTTCATTATAATTAATATTTTGTATATAATAAATATTAAATTTTTTATTTAATAGTTTTTTATCATAAAAAATAAATAAAATGGAATGGAATTATAATATAATCATAGTGAATAAATATGATTTAAAAAATATAGTTACATTAACAAATAGAATTAAAATATGATTTCAAGTCATTAAAATTTTATTGGGAAAATTATAATTTTGTCCATGTGATTTGCTATAAATTACTAGTGTATCCCTATATTTTAAAAAATACACTATAATACCTATAATTTTGTCGTTACATCCATTTTATTTCATTTTTTTTAGTACAAGTCAAAGGAAAGAGACATAGTCAAATGAGAGAGATACAATATTTATCCCTAAAGCACCCTTATGGCCTACCCCAAACCTAATTGCCTAGATTTTCTTGTATTTTCTCTATGCCAAACACCTCCACATTCCATGAAAGGTTCCTTTTTTTCTTACTTTTTACAAATTTTCTTTATCTTTATCAATTGATTTTATAGTTTCAAGATGTTTTCTTGAACTCATCCTCTTCCATATAAAGAATTTGAACAAACCTTTCTTCTAGTAGAGACTTTAAGATGCAAATTTTTGAGTGGGAGTTTGCTGAATTTAGTGGGTTATGGTTACTATTGTAAAACAGGTGAAGGGTTGGCTTAGATTTAAGGTGGGTCATGGAATAAGGGAGAGCTAAGAGAATGGAGAGAAAGACATAAAAATCCAAGAGAAACACACATATTTCGGTTGTATTCAATAGCGACTTTTTAAATAGTTTTTAGCGTTTTAACTAGTTTGTAGTCCGTAATGTTATTTTAATCCATAAAAATTTCAAATGAATTAAAAATTATATATATAACTGCTTGTAAACTTCTCAAGATTAATTTTAAAAAATCATTTGATAGGTTTAAACGAGTTGAGTTTGAATTTGCTTATTGAATTCAAACTTATAACATAAGTGGCATTTTTTAACATATATATTAAATTGTAAATGAATAGATATCCACATCAATAGAATTTGGTACAATAATAATTTTCCTTATCAAGTCACTTCAATTTTTTGTAATTAGTAGTTGTGCAAATGCATATATAATTTATAAATGTCAACAAAAGAAATATGAAAATTTCTAGATTATTTCCATTAATCTATGCTAAAATTACTAAGGTTTAATTGATAGGATTAAATTATAAATGAGATAATTTTTATTTTATGATTTTTTTATCAGGAAATCAACTCAATACAGTGTAAAAAAATTGATTTGTAATATCACCTTATTATTGAAAAGAAAATTTTAAATCTACTATTTTTTTTTTCTCAATTGTCTTTTTTTCTATGTTGTATTTTTACATCCATCATCTAAATAATTGATGAGGCTTAGTATCCGATTAAAAAATGAAAAGAATATAATAGCAGTTTATATTCGTCTTTTATACTTCCATTTAAAAAAGACAAAATCATTTCCAAAAGTCATGATTTATATGTTCTTCCAAATGTCACATTGTGACCAGCGTGTTTTTTTTTTTTTAATGGTTATTGATTAGGTTAGATTATTTAAGTTGCTTAAAAAAATATTTTCAAAATAAATATATTTTTTCTTATTTGGCCATGTTTGGTTTTGATTTGATTTGAAGCAATAGTTAAATCAAATCTCAAAGTGGTGGTTTAAAAAAATAAAATAAAGTAGTTAACAGGGGACAATTAAATAGTTAACCGGGTACCGCGCCGCATTATGTGCAGTGAGGTCAATCTACTCCGGTTAATTTATTGAAAAATGATTATAAAATAGTATTAAATTGATAAAAAAAATTTAAAAAAATATAGTAAGTGAAAAATTTTAAATTTTAATCTAATTCACTCCACTAAAAATTAAATTAAATAAAATGATTCTACTAGAAAATATTTTTAACTCCGCCACAGAGTAATTTCCATGATTGCTTAACATTTCATAAAATAATTGCATGATTTATCTAATTAATATGAAATTATGGTAGAATTACTATCCAATATCTCAACCGTTCGGTTTAAATGGCTTTGAACCCAAAAACATAAATTCAATCAAAAGTTCAATTTTTAAATTTTAAAATTTAAATTAAACAGCAATTAGATGTGATCTGATTGATCATTCTACATCTTGTAGAAAATGTAAATAGTAAGAGATCTCGAATTCGAATTTTCTCTTTTATAAAAATTATCACTAATTAAAGGAAAATGTCATTTAAAGGGAGAACTGTCATTTTCAGTAAATAGATCGTAACTTTCTTTACATAAGGAAAAAAGTTACACTTCTCTAATTAAATACAATAAATTTATCATATTTACTATGTGTTATAATTTGAGAACAATTTATTTTACAAAAAAATAATTTATATACAAAACACGTTAAATCCACACTTTCTAAAAGATAATTTCCTTAGAAGAATATTTCCCTATATATATACCTTTCCGAGAATATTTGAACCAAAACAAGTCAACTTTAATCGATTAACTTTGTCTATATATTCATAATAATAAATAATTAACTAGTATACCAAAATCTAAAATTTTTTTATCAATTAGTACTATTAAAGTAAATGATCTCCTAATTTTGTATAAGAGGTGATGTCTTGGGGGAAAAAAAAATCTCAACTTCTATTCCACGACACGACCATTCTTTATATTAATGATTATTTCTGTCATTGTATAGATTCTCCTCGTCAAACTTTAACTTGTAATTCATAATTGCATCAAGTTAAAGGTGTTTTGTTTTCTAAAATAATTCATCAATGATGCAATCAAGTATTATAAATAATAGGTTAGATTAGACATAAAATTTACTATTAAAAAATCTGTTGATGCTTTAACGATAAAAAAAACTATATATATTATTTTGAACAATAAAATTAAAATTAAAAGAAATAATCTTAAATTTTTCTGCTTAGAGATGACATTTACCGATATAAATCTTCGTAATAGTAAATGATCCTTTAATTGATTTGGATGATAAAATAAATTTTCCGAATTTTCTATGCTTTGATTGCTTTTCTAAAAATTTATTGCATATGACTTACACGAATGAGTTTATGCCACTTTGCAGTTAATAGCATCAATGAAGAAACAAGTCGCACTACCAATTTCCATTGATAGAGGATACACATCAGTTAAATAATATCTAAATTCTCCATCCAAATAAAATCAAATATCATATTTTTTAATAACAAACCTTCACAAATACTAAACTCTCATACAAATACTAAACTCTCGTGGAAGAAGGGACAAAAGAACAAAGAAAAAAAAGATGTATTAGAATAAAATAGATCTAAGTTTATTAAAAAGGAATAAAAGATTAGGAGTGAAAAGAAGAAAAAAAAAAGTAGGGAGCTACCGCTGATTAATAGCGACAACTCTACATAAAAATTAGGGTTAAATAGTCCGGAGAGAAAAAAAAAATTAAAAGTTTATTTGAATTACTACATTATAATATATAACCTTGTACCATAATACTAATCAAACATAGTGTAATGGCTAAGGTAGGTCCTATGACCTTGGTATAAATGAATTAACGTTTAGTTAATTAAAATAAAATTTAATAGAGATATCTAAATAAGAGCAAAATTTAAATAAAATAATTATTACTTATTCATTTATTTGGACAAAAATGGTTTTGCACAGGAATTAATAAAAAAAAATTTCTTAATTTTATCTCAACATTGCATTAACTATACTTTCTTTACTTAAGTCAATTAAATCATATTTTCTTCCTTCAATAAATTCGATTAATTTAAAAAATATGCTAAACCTATACTCTATTGAAAAGACTGTTTAACACATTCTCCATTTCAAGAAGGTCATTGCATATAATTCTGAACTTTGCAAGTATCGACGGACCAATTTTCAATAAAATGAAGGGTACTTAGAAGTGGCACAATATTTCAAATCGTACCGTTGTTTAAGGGAATTATAAGAATTGTGAAAAAAAAAAAAAAAAAGAAGTATCGACGGACCAATTTTCAATAAAATGAAAGGGTACTTAGAAAGTGGGCACCAATATTTCAAGATCGTACCGTTGTTTAAGGGAATTATAAGAAATTTGTGAAAAAAAAAAAAAAGTGCGATCATAAAAAAGAATTTTCCGTGCAATTTTTTAATCATGACTGGATAGAGAAAGAGATAAAAGTAATTTCGATTTGAAATCTAACCAATCAAATTGTGAAAAAAAAAAAAAAAAAGTGCGATCATAAAAAAGAATTTTCCGTGCATTTTTTTAATCATGATGGATAGAGAAAGAGATAAAAGTATTGATTTGAAAATCTAACCACATCGAATGCAACTTTTGTAGTTTGTCTAGATGCTTTCAAATTAATGCAATAAAGAAAACTATACAGGGGTAATATGAACTTTGTATTGATTTTTTTACTAAATTTAGTAATTTTATCTAAATAAATCAGGTACATCTAATTAGAAATTTTGTCCAAATAAATGAATTCGCGAGGGTAATATCTTAATTTTTTTAAATACATGAATGAAACAAGAAAAAAAAAGATGGAAAATTAATTTTGGAGAGTTATTTTAGGTAACTCAAAAACCTTATCAGCATGCCAGGCACACCTACCATGACATGAATATAATCATCAACATCTATTCCCTAGATTTCCATTTTTGTACGTGAAATTGAAGTGGTTGTCCTTTTCATTGTTATGATAGAGACAAGGTCAAAGATGCTAGGGTTTGCAGGCGGCCAGGACAGTCCGTCTTTTGACAATTGTTGACATTTCGAACCCTTAAATGCGTGAAGCAGTTGAGTCTTTTTTTTTTTGTCTTTCTTTTATTTTCCTGAAACAAGATAAAACAAATTCGATCACGTTTTTTTCGCAGAATAAAGAGACACAGGATCATTCAATGTTCAGATACTGGCTTTTGGGTTTTTGAAATACTATGGAAGGTGGTGATGGTGGTAGTTGTTTGAGAACTCCATTGCTGTCAAGTGAAGCTAAACAATGCAATAATCAGAATGGATTAATACGGCGTCGGACCTCTGCTACTCATCTGAAATGTGATTTCATCTCTAATTTACCTGATAAGGTTAGAGCTGGTCTTGATCCTGAAACCCCTTTCAAGCTTGACATTTCTAAAACCAAAGGCTTGATTCAAGGTATATAATTTGATTTTCTTTCATATTTTATTTATGTGGGTAAATTTATAATTAAGGTAATTATGATAATGTTAATGAATCAATGTACATTTGTTAATTTTGTTTTTAATTAGGAGAAAAGGAATACTATCAAAAACAATTTGAAACCCTAAAATCTTTTGAGGAAGTTGATTCACTACACTTGCAAGCTATCAATGAAGAGCAAGAAAATGTAGAACAAGCCCAACATGAGAGAGCTATGAACATTTCCAACTGGGCAAATGTTTTTTTGCTTGTTCTTAAGGTAAAACAAACATCTCTACCCTTTTCTTTTATACATAACATGTCTTTGTGGGAAAATGAATTATATTTGTGTTATTATTGTCATGTAATGCAGATATATGCAACTATAAGGAGTGGTTCTTTAGCTATTGCAGCATCAACACTAGATTCTTTACTGGATCTAATGGCTGGTGGTATTCTTTGGTTCACACACTTGTCAATGAAAAGCATAAATATTTACAAATATCCCATTGGAAAGTTGAGGGTGCAACCAGTAGGCATCATCATTTTTGCTGCTGTTATGGCTACTCTTGGTACGATATGGTAACATGTGTATTTCTCTTTGAATTTGTATGATTGATGAGTTTCTGTGTGTTAATCTAAAGTAATCAAAATCTTATTTTCTAAGATAGTTTTGATGTCAATTGGGCTAGTACTTCAGTGATCAAGTAGCTAATTTATACTGCAGAAGGTCATGTGTTCATATCCTAATGGCTCATATAATACTTTTTTGAATAAAACAGTTTCGATCTCAATGTCAAAGCAGTTACTTACTTAGATGTGCTTTTTAACATTTCCTTATTTATTTCAACAAAAAATGGAATTAGATTAATTATTGATTCAGAAGGAAAATTACTGCCGAATCTATTGTTGGTCTATTCTTCTGAATCATATTCTAAGATATGAGATTTCTTCGTACATTTTAAAATATTTGATATTCTCTTTTAAATTATGTAAATAAAATTTAAACGAGGTTTAAGTTTTTAGCAAATAATCTGATACAGGGTTCCAAGTGCTGATCCAGGCAGTAGAACAATTGATTCAAAATAAACCTTCTGAGAAGATGAGTGCAGAGCAATTGATATGGTTGTATGCAATTATGTTGACTGCTACTGGAATAAAACTTGTGTTATGGTGTTACTGTCGAAGTTCAAGAAATGAGATTGTTCGGGCGTATGCAAAGGTTTGTTCCTAAATGCAAATTTACAGCAAATAATAAATTAGCGAACCAATGTTTAAAGCATTTCTCGTTCTTTTGGCGTTTGCTAGGATCATTATTTTGATGTGGTGACAAATGTAATTGGTTTAGTAGCTGCTGTTCTTGGTGATGAATTTTATTGGTGGATTGATCCAGCTGGTGCTATCCTTCTTGCAATTTATACAATTTCAAATTGGTCTGGCACTGTACTAGAAAATGCAGGTTATTTTCCGCAAAATATGTAATATCTTTGTCTCATGTTCAAGAACTTCTAGTCATATTTAAATGTTCACATTTGCTTCTTCTTTAGTCTCCTTGATCGGACAGTCAGCGTCTCCTGAGGTACTGCAAAAGCTGACATATCTCGTCCTCAGACACCATCCTCAAATCAAACGAGTTGACACAGTTCGTGCATATACTTTTGGGGTTCTTTATTTTGTTGAGGTCAGTTCTGTTTTAGTTTTTAGATTTTGGAACTGCTGTTTAGTTGTTTCGAAACTTTTATGACTAGAACATCTGCAATTCACTTTAAGAATTAGCTTTAAAGATTTCTTATTAACATTTTCGACATAATGTGGTTTTTAACAACTGAAATAGCAATGTCAAATGAAATAAGATTGAAGTAAAAACCTTCAATTCTTTAATTTACATTTGTTTTGTGTTTTTCTTCAGGTTGATATTGAACTACCAGAGGATTTGCCATTGAAGGAAGCCCATTCGATCGGAGAATCATTGCAGATAAAGATTGAAGAACTTCCCGAAGTGGAGAGAGCATTTGTTCATCTTGATTACGAGTGTACACACAAGCCAGAGCACTCTGTTCTCGTCAGACTTCCTAATAAGGATTGAAGTTTCGAAGTTTTCCTAATAGTGTATCATCTTGTAATACTAGGCATCTCTTCCTTTTTGTTTTTGGACGAAATGCTCTGTCACTGTGTTAATAATATTAGAAGATGAGAGTTGAATTGAAAAACAATATCAAGTAAGGTTTTTGCGGATTTTAATTCATTGACTGTGTTATTTTTGTTGGTAGCCTAATCTTTTGGGCTTTGCCCAAAGTTGTCGATTTCGTTTCATATCAACACATTTCTGTGTTTTGTTTCTATATATAATATTAATATGACCAAAACAAACTCATTAGAACATTCGCTTCAAAAAAAAAAAAAAAAAACCGTCGAAGTTTCGTTTCAATATCAACAATTTCTGTGTTTTTGTTTCTATATATAATATTAATAATGACCAAAACACTCATTAGACATTCGCTTCAAAAAAAAAAAAAAAACCCAAGAAACAATTGAATTAGAAGTAACGGAAGAAAAAAAAAAAAAAAAAAACCTCAGAACATTGAAAAATTAGAAGTAACGGAAGAAATTTGTTGATTAATTATTTTCAAATTTGACAAAAAAACAACAACAACAACAACAAAAAAAATGTCGTCTCCACTAAAATGGATCAAAACGGTTGAAATTTCCAAAAAGAAATTACTTTTTTTATTCTGTTTCCTTGACTTGAACGAGATTTCTCGATCATCAAGATACACTTTATTGTAATTAGGGTTATAATTTGCTATAATCATAAATTTATTATTGAGATAAAAATTAGTATATTGATAATGTTGATTAAAGCTCATTGTCCTTCAAAGAAAAAAAAATTAGAGTTTACTGAAATATAATTAATTTTGTATGAGCTTAAATAATTATTAAATAAATTGATAAACTAATATTTTAAATTGAGATCTTAAATATAAATTAAATAATTATTATTTATATTTAAAATTAACAATTGTAAAACATATAAAAAAAGGAAGAAACCTTCTTTAAAAAAAAAAAAAAAAGAAGAAACCTAAATTATTATTTATTGCTATCAAATTCAATAGCTAATTTATACCTTTGATTTCAAATTTAACTAAAAAATTTATTTACAAGGCCGTGAGAAACGGTATATGTTATCTCCACGGTTCATTTAATTCTATTTATTTTTCTTAATTTCTTTCATAATTATAAAATTGTCAGGTTGGTATGGTATTATTACAATTTACAAGTCACAACAAAAGGTTAAAAGCTTGCCCCTTTCTCACGCCGGTGAATATATTGCTAGTAAGATAGTAGTTGTTTCATCTCCACCGGCGAGCTCTGGAGGTTAGCGTCCTTTCTCTCTCTCCCTCTTTATCTAATTTTCTTGCTCTGCTCCTATGAATATTAGTCTATTTAGTCGCTAATTAAGCTTCTGGTACTCTTTTGTCAATATATTCATTGTCAATGCTTTTCTTTATTCCGTCTATATTTTCTCTCCCTCTATTTTCCTTTTTGTTTACTGAGAAAGTGGAAGAAAAGAATAAGAGTAAGTCTAGGTAGTTGTTATTCTCATGGGTTCTGGATAAGATTTGAAGAATATTCTCAGTAGGTGAAAAATTGAAATTAAATGCACATAATTTTAGTTCTCTTCTTTTTGCATTAGGAGCCCATTAGTGTGAATTCTGCAACTTCTTAATAGACAAACAAATGTTTATCATAATCGTTGATTGTTCCAAAATTCGAAATTTGCTCGTCACTGGTATTTTCTCTACTAAATGAGGGTTTTAGGGTGTAGGGTGTAGGATTTAAGTTCCAATCTTGAGTCTTTCAGGCAGGTCAGTTCGAACAATTTTCTGTATAGTAATTTATGTAATTTTATGCTAGACTATATTTTGTATTCTTTTCATTTTTCAGTTCATGGATTCTGAGATTGTGTAACTCAATATTGGCCTAAAGCTCATGTCATATTATTAGCTTGATTTTATTAAATTTCTGAATCTTCATTGACAGTTTTTTTGTAAAACAAAGTTACATTGCAGTCACCTTTGACTTGATTTAAGTTCAGGAACAGGTTCGTCCTACTCCTATAAGTTAAGAAAATTAGAATAGATACCTAAACATCAGAACAAGTCTTTGTTGGTTGAGTTGCATAACTAATCTTAAGTCAATATTATGTTGCGCATTAGAAAAGAAACAATAACTATGTTTCTATTGGTCTGCGACTTTCTGTTGCAGTCCTATTTGGCTGTTCGACTGTTGTCTCTTACTGTCTTACATGTCCTTCCATTCTTTAATACACTTTAGCAACTAAGTACTAAAGTTCGTATTTTCTTTTGACAGGACATAAATGTGGATAGATGATCAGCGAAATATGTTCCTTGGGTAAACGTTGACAGTAACACCTTTTGCTTCATTCTGAATTACCATTTAAAACACCAGAACTACTCATCTTAAACCATAAATAGTTCCATCAGGAAATGCATATAGTTTCTTCCATGAATCCCATGTTATTGGCTTCGCCTCCCAACCTTCAGTTGCCTTCCTGTCATTCCTCACCTTGTCATCAGTTACAACCTCAGTACGTTCCCAGTAGTTTTGTCAGTCATCGTGTTCATTTTGTCTCTTCTCTTTCTTGTTCATTTCCGTCCTCTTTACGTCTTTCCTTGTGCACTCACCAGTCATTAATCGGTGCTGCAATTCCTTCAGATGAGGGACCAATTTCTGCAATCACTTTTGAAGATTTTATAGAAAAAGATTGGTCGTTTCTTGATTTAGATGATATCAATTCTGAAGAAGAGCATAAACAAAAAATTAGCCAGATAATATCTGCAGGAGAGGTTGAAGACACTTCGAGGGTTTTGGTTTCAATTGGTTCAGAAGAATTTGTAGATCAGTTAGTTGATACATTGCCATACAGTTTTTTGCTTGTCGTCCATGATTCACTTTTTCTATTAGCTTGCATAAAAGAAAAATATGACAAGGTCAAATGTTGGCAAGGAGAGCTGATACATGTGCCAGAAAAGTGGGGTCCTTTTGATGTTGTATTTCTCTATTTTCTGCCAGCCTTGCCGTTTAAACTCGACCAGGTTTTCGGGACACTTGCAAAACACTGCTCACAAGGTAAATAAGGAGTTTACTGCCTTACCGGGTCTATATTTACTTTATAAGATTTTTTTTTCCCAAATGTGGTGAGATGGTGATATTGAAGTTTTATTTGGCATGGAATCATGAATTTGTTTTAAATACATAGAAAATTTGAACGCCTATTTTGAAGTTTTTGATAGATTGCCTATTGATTGTATAGGTGCAAGAGTTGTCATTAGCCATCTCCAAGGAAGAGAAGGATTAGAGCAGCTAAAAAAACAATACCAAGATGTTGTAGTTTCTGAATTGCCTGATAAGATGACCTTGCAGAAGGTTGCAGCTGATAATGCTTTTGAGATGGCTGAATTTGTGGACGAGCCAAGATTCTATGTTGCTGTTTTACGATTTTCTGGGAAAATAATCTGAAAAGATTTTCAATTTTCAACCATTTTTGTAGGATGAAGAATTCTGTGATACATTAAAATGTGAATTCAATGGTACAATGCTGGTGTGTTCATTGGTGGTTTTTCGGTAAGAAGCTCTGCAAAAGAAAGCAAGCTTTGAAAATTTGTTGCAATTTGGTATGCCCTAACATTTCCATGCTGTGACAAATATGTTTGTCTGGGTCTCCATGAAATGAATGCAACTTTTTCTCTTTGAAATTATTTATGAAGTCTTCTCTCAATAAAGCGATTTCAATATCGATCCACTAATTATTTTAAGGAATAGTTTGAGAACAGCATTTTTCTTACAACTTTTTTTTTTTTTTTTTTTTTTTTTTTTCCAAACTAAAGAAGGGAATTTTAGTTTTGGTAAGGGGATGTATTACTGTATTCTTTCTCATACCTGTGCTCTGAAAAAAATGTGTCCCAAGGCAACAAATTTTTTTCGCCAAATAAATCAAATTGTAGAAATATAAAGATTGTTAGAAATTGTAGTTTTCAATTATATATATAATATTATATATATATATATATATATATATATATATACATAAGAAGAAGAAAAGACAACTAATTTTCCACTTAGATGTATTTAAGAATTAAACATGTTTATTTATATAATTAATAAACTAATGTGAGAGATTTTCATTCAATAATCATATTTTATTGCTTACAATTATGGACGGATGCATGATTTAGATTAAGGTAAAAGTACACAAGCCCTATTTATTAAGCCGTAATGAACGTGCGTAGTGTAATCAAAAACATTTTAATGTAAATATTACACTAAAGTGCTTTAATTATATTAAATTACATTTTATTACGAGTTTATTAAATATAACTTTAAATTTATTATAAGGAAGAGGAAACCAATATAAATTTTAAAATTTTAAGGAGGGATAATGGCTCATGGCTACAACGATAACACTTTAAAATCCATTGACAAATAATGGCAATATTTCAATAATATAAAATAATTAATTTTTTTTAAGTAATATTAATCTAAAGATTTAGTGGTAGTTTAATTTAATAAGAAAATCAAAATAATAAAAGATTATTAATTTATTCGATTCAATTTAAAAAAAAAAAAAAGAAAAGACAGAATAATGCTGAACTAAAATACAAGAAACAATATGGAATCAAATGAAAAAAAAAGAAAAGAAAATAAAAGAAAAGAAATGAAATGAATTATTACAAGTAAAGACTAAGTTGGTTATTTGATAAAATTAAATATTAAGAGTTGAAAATTTAAAATCTAAGATTGAAGAGATGAGAATGGTTGGTGAAACTCAAGGAATATAGTAGTAGAACTCATACAAGCCACAATTTTGCTTTTTCTTTTTCTTTTTCTTTTTGAGCATGAAATAGTTCATAGACCTGTTTAGCGCGATTGTTTCAATTGCTATTGAGAAAAGCACTATGAAGTAGTAGTACTTCATTACTCTCGCAAATTGTGCTTCCTGTACCCGAATCTCACTACAAAGTACTAAAGACCAAAAACTAAAGATACAAAACCCAGGAGGAAAAAAATCTAATACCAACAAATGCTTCATTAATAGAATATCAAAAAAAAAAAAAAAAAAAAAAAAAAAAAAAAGCTGACCTCATACAGAAAATCTCAAAGCATTATAACACTTCTTCCAACCCTCTCTCTCTCTACATTTGAAAATTTAAGGGCGAAAAAAGGACAAATAGTTATCAAAACAACTGAAGAAAACTATAAAAGTGCAATTTTCTCAGAGGAAAGTTATTGTGTATTTGGCTTTCAAAGTACTCAAAACTTCCAATAGCCATATAAAGAAGATAGGGACGGTACTTGAAAACAGCCCACCCTCAAACAGCTTTTGCCCAGTAGTATATTAGAAAAAAAAGAAAACCTTAGGCCATTACTTGCTGCAAACCAAATTATATTCTTCCATAGTAGTTTCTTTTTTATTTGCATTGCAGGTCTTATTTTCAAGTTGTTCCACTGTAACTTCTTGAGAAACATCTCCAACCAATCCCATCTTTTGAAGGTAAAGGATTTGGCTTACATCCTGTGAAAGCGCTACAGGCCCGCCAAAAAATGGAATAAGGAAAAAGCTGTTGTCACTGACATGCAATTTGGCAGGGAATGTCCATTTTCCCACCTTCTCCATTGATGAAACTGCGGTTTGGACATGATCCAGCTGAACTGCATTCTCTTGTTTAGTCTTCAGTTAAAACTTCTGGCATAGTACACGTTCTTCGTTTGCTTATCCAAGTTCAAGCCATTTGGCTTTGCCGGAGTGGTGATAAAACTGCGAACAGGACCTGGATTAAAACATGGGAGTTTGCCAAATGCTGTACGGGACCATACTGCATGCATAAACGTGAGCTTTCCATTTAAACCATAGCTAATTAGGGCCAGCATATAGGTAATGGTTTGGATTGGGGAAAAAGGGCATTAATCCCATTAGTGGAAGCAGCTGGAAAAAAAAAAAAAAAAAAAAAAAAAGCTGACCTCATACAGAAAATCTCAAAGCATTATAACACTCTTCCAACCTCTCTCTCTCTACATTGAAAATTTAAGGGGAAAAAAGACAAATTAGTTATCAAACAACTGAAGAAACTATAAAAGTGCAATTTCTCAGAGGAAGATTATTGTGTATTGGCTTCAAAGTACTCAAACTTCCAATAGCATATAAGAAGATAGGGACTGTACTCTGAAACAGCCACCTCACAGCTTTTCAGTAGTATATTAGAAAAAAGAAAACCTTAGGCCATTACTTGCTGCAAACAAATTATATTCTTCCATAGTAGTTTCTTTTTTATTGCATGCAGGTCTATTTTCAAGTTGTTCCACTGTAACTTCTGAAGAAACATCTCCAACAATCCCATCTTTTGAAGGTAAAGGATTTGGCTTACATCCTGTTGAAAGCGCTACAGGCCCGCCAAAATGGAATAAGGAAAAGCTGGTGTCACTGACATGCAATTTGGCAGAATTGTCCATTTTCCCACCTTCTCCATTTGATGAAACTGCGGTTGGACATGATCCAGCTGAAGCTGCATTCTCTTTTTTAGCTTCAGTTAAAACTTCTGGCATAGTACACGTCTTCGTTTGCTTATCCAAGTTCAAGCCATTGGCTTTGCCGAGTGGCTGATAAACTGGAACAGGACCTGGATTAAACATGGGAGTTGCCAAATGCTGTACGGGACCATACTGCATGCATAAACGTGAGTTTCCATTTAAACCATAGCTAATAGGGCCAGCATATAGGTAATGGTTTGGATGGGGAAAGGGCATTAATCCATTAGGTGGAGCAGCTGGCCAAGCAACTGGATTTTGATGGTAGTAATTCAATGGAGGAGTTTGAAAGACTGGAAATTGTAAATTTTGGTTTTGCATAGGTGGAAACATGCCTTGATGTTGCGAACCTATTGCAACAGTTGGTATACCATTATCAGCATTTTGAGAAGGTTTTGTATTTCCCAAACCACTCATCCTTGGACCATCTGGTGGAAGTTCAAACAGTTTCCTGCTTCCAAATGCCGCACCTCCATTTGCACTTGGTTTGTTCTCATTGGTCGCTTCATGAGAATTGGAAAAACCATTTTGACATGGTGAAGTTTCTCTTCCTTCTGATTGTTGACTGGTATCTTCTGAATCTGATGTGGATGAGGATTCCAGATTTCCATGGTTCGAAGAGGCTGTATTACTATCTCCCTCACTGAGGCATGATGAGCAGTTATCAGAATTTGAAGTGCTACTCATGCTGGGATCAGATGTCCCATTCAGGGCAGAGTTCTTTGCAAGACATGATCTGACTTCCTCAAAAGGAGTTTCAGTTGAGTAGCAAGGCTCCTTCACTTTCACATTGTTTCCGTTCTGGCATCCTTTATTGATTCCAAGGCTAGAGTTTCCTGATTTCCTTGTATTATCATCTTCATGATCAATTTCTCCAAAATTTTGAGCAACTCCACCAAAACAAGTATTACCAGATAACTTAAATGACTTATTATCAGAATCTACTCCTTCAACCTTGAAAGTTGATGACCTCAAGGTAACATCACTGTCAGAGTTGCTTCGAGCATACTTTTTGTGTGATTCCATGGGCTCCCAAACTTTCTTAGAATGAAGCAAATCCCTGCTGGAAGAATTGTTCGTTGTGATGCTTTTGCTTTTAGGTCTTCCACAACCTTCACGCCCGTAATCTATTTGCACATACTTGTTCCCACGATAAAATTGCTTAGATACATCCAGTGTAGACTCTGACTTGCCAAAAGATTTGCTCTCTCTGCCAATTCTTACCGTAGAAACTTGAGTTTCAACCTTCACCCTGTATTCATTGTTTTGGTGACAGCTGCAAGAATGGAAATCATATCTGTCATTCATCCTGCTGTTGAAACAATGATATTTCTCATTGAACTTAAGGCCACAATTTCGACCATTAGTCTTTGGTCCATTTATCCTGGACTGCCTATTGAACCCACTGACGCCCCTTGGAGGATTATCAAAATTATCACTGTAATGTCTCGACTCGGATCTATTAGCGACAGTCCCATTTTCTGAAATAACTGCAAATCGACGTCTATCAGACCACTTCAAAGAGGGATCAAGTTGAACTTCTTTCCGAAATTTCAGTCTCCGACGAGAAAATTTTGATTGTTCCATTGTAAAACAGCCAGATCCATCTTTCATATCAGTAACCTCTCCATCAGGACTTCCACAGGAGTCGTCTTGCATTATGGAAGTGGCACACCCATTTAAGGATTGACGTTCTTGACTATCAGGCGACCCAGGCCTGGATAGTGAAATGTCACCATTTTCACTTACTGAATCTCTACAGCTGATGGCATTACTAGTCTCCTCATCTATACTTGCAGATATTTCATCCTTTGAGACTTCAGGTGTATGATTTGATTCAAGACACTTCTTATCTCTATCCCTTTCCTTCCCTTTTAACCTTTCCTTTCTTCTAAGCTTCTTCTCTCTTTCTTTTGTTCTTCTTCGCTCCTTCCGTTCTTCTTCTTCACGCTTTTCCTTTTCCTCTTCTTCAAGAAGTTTCATCTGCTAGGAACAATTGCACTAAGCCTTTCTCCTAAAATAAATGAAACCTTCCCTATTTTTGATTTACAACTCAAAATGAAATCTTTTCCCAAATCACTAGTAATACCTGCTTTTCCAATGTGATAATTTCTTTACATGCAACATGAACGCGCTCTTCCAGCAATTTTAGTGCAAGACAAACAAAGATACTGTGTGCATTTTGGCGTGCAGTTCCTTCCCTGAAAGCCTTTTCAACCTGAAAAATGAATGAGATAGAATTAGTGGAAAATGTGAAAATTCAAATGTCCAGACTCAGAATTACAATTTCTCGTACAGAAGCAACCCAATCTACACAATGCTCCCATCTAATTCACATGGTTTGGCCGAAGAACTCATTCAAATACTCCTTCCCGTGGACATTTTTAAACGACACCGCTTTCCCTAAAGCAACCTACCACATACTTTCCAATTCTAGAAGCCAGCATAAGCACATTTTGGATTTCAAGAGCTCCAGATTGGAATAAACGTCTGAATAAGTGGTATTCATTTTTGAACTATCTGAAAGAACAGCAAGCATATTGGAAGGACATAAAACTTGCCTGTTCCTTGAAAATAACAGTCGCAGCATCTAGAAGAAATTCTCGAGCAAGTTCTGGACTCTTCGCATGCTTTTGAGGACGGGAGCATTCTCCATCCAGCTCATTTCCGTCCTTGTCCATGGAATCATCATCCTACAAATGTAGAAAACATAAAGATAATGTTTAACAACAATGTCAAAAGGAATTATCGTGAAAAATATTTGATGAGATTTAAAGCATTGTTGAGGAGCGAAAAGAAGGTATAATTAAACCTGAACTACCTCTTCTTCCTCAGCTTCCTCAGCATGTTCAAAAAACCTTCTGATGCTTTCCCCTCTTGTTATTGTAACAAAACCATCACCAACTACTAGCCTGCAATGCACACATTGTTGACCTCTTAATGCATGAGCCTTCACAGAAAGCTCAGTGCAGCGGCCATCTAGTTTCCAAGCCCTCAAAGTGATAAAACACGCACTTAAACCACCAAGATCCAAGCCATTAACTTGGACACTTCCATTCATGCCAACATTTTCAAATTCTAGAATGTCAGATTTTCCCTCCCCTGTTCCAACTGCCCATTCAAAGTGGTGATATGATCCAACAGTATCAGAAAAAGTTTGGTGCCAATCAGCCTGAATTGTGTCATCAGATACCTGAGGAAATAGTAGAGAAAGTTAGGTTTATGACAATCACATTAATGAAATTTCATTTAGTAGTCAATAATACATGAGCTATCAATAAAAACAATAGCATGACAGGCATTTCTTTGGTGACCATGATATCCTCACTCTTCAAAAACACAAAATCACAAATTCAGAAAGTGAAAGAAATACCTCGTATTGAAAAGCTGTATCTGCAACACAAAACCAACTGGTGCAGCGAGGTTCTCGCCGCATGCGTTTTAACTCCTTTAGCTCCTTGAACTCACGAATAACATTCCTTCTGCAATCTCTGCAAAATCTCTTGCTGTCAAACCTGTGGCACATGTTTCATTGAAGAAAACGAGAAAGAATAAACACAAAATCCTGAAGGGAAAATGTTTGGCACGAACTATCAGCACATAATCAGCAGTAAAGAAAAAGCAGCCATAACTATTTACACACATAACTGCCTAACCTTAATAGCAAATATTACAATGGGAGAGGGAAAAAATAGCTAATAAATATGTGACAGTTCAAGGAATGAGTAAAGCTGTAGGCTTCTGTTTGTTAACCCAATTAAGGATGTAGGCGTCTGTTTGTTCACACAATTGAAAGAAAACTTACGCTAGGATCATTTTAAGCAGAAAAAAACGAATATCATCAGATAAAAATAAACAAAGAAGGAAGAGCACGAACAAGAGCCGCTCATGAATGACAAGGTATCAGATAAATAACTGTAAGATTAACAAACCTAAAAGTATGATAATTATTCAATGATGAAACTTATTTTCCATGCAGAAGACTAGGGAAGCAAAACTTAACTAATCTCCCTTCCTATCTTACACTCAATTTCACTTTGACCCACCCTCAACTTCTTTCAAGTCCCAACTTAAGTGTATCAATAGTAAATCCATATAAATCTACAACCAAATCTTTGTCATATCATCAGTTCAAAACCTCTACATGTCTCTAATGCATTCATATCCAACCGATATATGCTATATCATTATACCCACTTTTCTCAGTATGTTTTTCAACTTTAGCATGCCAGTTTTACAGGCATAATGCCTTAACCAACATAATCCTGGTCAACAAGGGGATCGCTTTAACGACCACTGAAACAACTAAACTTTGATAATGGTAATAAAGACAATGCTAATTGATAAAGGACAGGCTAACATGAATGGGAGCAGAATATACAAACTCAGATTTTTTTTTTTTTTTAATTTCAGTTTTCCTAAGAGTATTGCTACCTGCCTTCCGGGGAAAGCTATCAATTCAAGAACTGGAATTTTCTGTCCAATTATTTCTCCTTCTCAACAAAACTCCCTGCATTTGTTTTATTTCTCAAAGATCACTCAGAGACCTAACTACCCAAGGAAATAAAAGAGTAGAGCAATTCTACCTCTTGAAAATTTGACAGCTCTAGGCAATGAAATCCATCCATATTTTTCATTTCCAACATAATGGAATGGCATCTATTTTCTTATGACCAATATCCATGAAAAGGCAAGGGTAGCACTTAAGTTCTTTGCTCTTCTGAAGTTTCTATCAATTCCTTTCCTTTTTCCCTCTCTCTCTTTTTAACCATGCCAAGGTGGCCTCGATCTGTTTGAATTATAGTCACTGTATGAATAGATATGATTACCCAAACAACATGCATTCAAAAGGTCAAGGAAATATAACCTTATTCTTGAGCCAAGAACAGTGCCAACTATTCTATTTGTGTGAAATATGATGTTTTTCCCAAAGCAAAAACATAAATATTTGATATGATACAGGCTATCAGCAAGACTGAGATCAAGCTGCATTAGGAGAAGAGGACATGTGTTTTGTTTGAAAGAAAGACAGAAAGATATGTCTGCTTTATGATTGATCAAGTTTTATTGTAAAGCCTGATTCAGTTTGCCCTCAAAAAAGGAGGGTAAATGTTTTTCTTACAAGTCTACTCCAGTATAGAAAGTTGGAATTCTACTCCTTAAGTCTTCTCCCACATCAATAAAGATTGCCTCAAAAGATGTAATTTTGATGGGTGAGTGTCCCCCATCCCTTAGGGTTTTTCAAAGTTTTAGTTATTCCAGCCTTCTACTTCTGTTTCTTAATGCTTCAATAAACAAAGACTACGTCCCAAAGTTACACCAGGTATTCTACACCTACAAAAGTAGTGGTCAGGATATCTGCTGCATAGCTCTTGGAGATTGTCCAATGTCACAAATTAGGCCCTTTCATACCTCAACAGAACATCACACTCCAAGAAAACTAAAATGTGAAAACAAACTAACTAAACAACAAAATAAATTCTGTTAAGATGAATTTGTAATAGACTGCCTTGATGAATAAGTATTAGGGATTCCTGCCCATTATGAAATGAAGCTTTGCTAGTTTCTCATCCCAACAGAAGTCATCTATTTTTAACTCTGAATATTGACAACATTTTCTCTTGTCCAAAAAAACAGAAAATATCACCAATGACGGAAAACTGCAACTACTGAAACTATCCTTAATTCAATGTGAAACATGTAGTCACTTGCTTCCTAACAGCATTCCATCCAGATATATTCTGTTTTAGTGATGTTATCTCTCAGGGAGAATGCTAAGCTGAGAAGATCAAATGAGCAATAACTATTTGACATTCTGAGGCTTATGGTATTTAAGGCATCAGCACTTCTCAAAAAGAAGACAGCACCATATCTGCATTTTGTAGGCTTTCTAGAGGCACATACTGCAAGTTTTACATCTTTCATAATGCCTAATTACTTTTTTTTTCTTCCTTTCCAGTTTCGCCAAGATGCTATCAGCAATTAGTTTTAAGCTCAAATAAACATGAGTTGGCCAACTAGACTTCTCATTATGTAGTCCATTGATTTCAAACTGAATGATGTTAATAAAGAATAAGCAATTGGCTATGCGCAAACACACCTGTACATAAGCCTCTCAATAAAATCTTCTTCCTTCATCCTTAAAAGAGATTGTCGAGTCTCTTCTCCAAGTGCCGACCAGAAATCCACTAATGTGTCACAAGAAAGCCTGGCAGTATGCAGAGCGCACGTTTCTCTTATTCCATGTCCTCTACCATAACTTGCCATTCCTTGGCTAATCCAACCTCGACCTCCTCCGCCACAAGCATCAGGATAGAGCAATTCCCTTTCCCGTTCCCTCGCTCGTGCACTGTCGAATACCTGATTCAACCAGACTTCAGCTACTAAATTTGAAAGGGATAGTGTCATTGGATTATGAAATTTAACCAGCACTCACATTTTGAAGACCCTTGAGGGACTTTGAATAAAAATAGCAGCTCAATAATGTCAAAGAGCCATCACGTGTTGTGGTCAGACCCCCCCAGGGATGGACAGATGGATCTTGAATTTCATCTTGGCACCCATTCATCATATTTGATTCTCCATCGCATTGATTTTTTGAGGCCCCTGGTCTGTTGCAAGGAAAGTGTCCACCTAGCCCCTCCTGCTGCAGAGACTTACCATATATGACAATCTGCAAGAAACCTTGGAGCAGTAGTCCATTGCATCTAGAACAGTACATATTTTTACGAGCTTGCTCAAACAGGGTTTGCTTGTCAATCCTCAGTAGCTTCTGGCGAGCTTGTGGTGACAATTCACTCCAGAACTACACCACAAGTACATAAACCTTTGTTATTAGTGGTCATAATTCACTACATTTAACACAGTCCTGAAATTCTTATGAAGATAAAAGTCAAACAAATTGCCAGTACTTGTAAGCATAAGAAGGTATATACACCAAAACATTTTTGCACACTGGAAGCAGAAGGGGAGTTTGGCACATTCAAAATTTCTCATTATCCAATTGCAGAATTGCCTTTAGTTTCTAATGGATTGAAAAACCTTCAATACTACAACAATTCTCATTAGCAGAATTTTGAACCATATTTGAAACAGGTTCTTACTAGACTGACCAAAAATTTAATAATTATAACACAACTACTTGTCCTGTAAGCAACCAGGCGGAGCACTGAAATGCCATTATCTCAACCCGAATCTATTACCCAATAAAATGGTTGATATTATCCGGTAAACAAACCTAAAATAGAAAGCTACTGGCATACACAATCGTAACTGCCACAGAATCACCACCTCTATTGCAAAGAAAACTCCATATGCAAATCTCATAAACAAGGTGTTACAGTGGATCTGCGGAAGAGAATACGAACAACCTTAACATACAGAAATAGTAAACAACACCCAGAACTTAAAAACCAAAATCACTGAATAACTTGAGCAGCAAGATCCAATCTACACCAAATTACCAAAAGAAATCCAAAAAAAAGGAACACAAAAATTATATAGAAAACAGTGATCGGATTCAATCCCAATATACACTAGTACCTTCTGAAGCTGATTGTAGCCAACATCGTCCCGGTGCTTTGACCAGAATCCATTAGCAGGGAGCGAGTAAACGCCCGATGATGCATTACTGAATTGCTCATTTCTTTGCGCTATTCCTGGCATCTTATTTGTAATCTATATATTTTATCTTATTGTTGTTATAGAATCACACTAACATAGATTTATCCATCATAAATCCTTCCATTTTGCACATCCTCATTTGCAGCTAAAAAACGGATCCAAAAACCGATCGATTGAAAGAAAAAAAAAATCGATCAGAATCAAAAACAGTATTCAAATTGAATTAAAGAACCAAAAACTGGATAGTATATGGATCGAGAAGTGATGGGTTTATCAATATTAACAAAATTATGGGATAGATTTGGAGGGAAAGAGAGGATTAGAGAGGAAAGAGATCGAGAGATTTAGAAAGAGAAGAGATACGTAAAGGGGGGTTTTTGGTTGATGAAGATGAGATTTGGTGCTGCTGCGTTTTGCCTCTGCATATATATGTGTGTGTATATATATATATATATATATATGGAGAAAGAGAGAATGGGATTGAAAAGAAAAATGATTTGGAGGCTTATGGTAATGAAGAAAATGGCAATGGAAAAATTGTATTGTGGTGGAGCTGTGTGTGACAGTCTGACAGACGGTTAAAATGGAGAGAGAGATTAAGAGACTACTGTTACATTACATGTTTAACGGGCTGGATTATAATTTTGTTTTCAATAATAAGAAATTATATATATATATATATATTAACTTTAAATTGCAATAATTTGGTATCAAAACTTTTAATCCTTTGCAATTTAATTTTGTGTAATATTTTTTAATTTTTTATGTATTTTATTGAGCTCAAAATCGTGCATCATTGATTCATTTTTATGAAATGTTTTTTATATTATTTTTTACATGAGGTGTGACGAAATTTTTGACTTAATTGTATTTGAAATTTGGATAATAAAATGAAAGATTTGTGATAAAATTAAACAAAACTAAATAAAGAATTTTTTTTTTGTAAGTAAACATAATAATAAAATTATTACATGTAAAAAAAAAAAAAGAAATAATGGTGTTCATAGTTTTTAGTTTCTACCCCTTCATCCTATAAAAGTAGGTTTATTTTCGTTTCCACACCTATTAGGAAAATGTACTTGATATGGGTAAACCATAATTTTTTGCTTATTTTTCCTAATAAAACATTGTATTAACGATCCTATGTGTATTTTTGTTTTTATATATATCTACATGTGTAAAGGTGTAAAACAGCTAAGTCAGCTCGCGAGCTATTTGAGCTTGGCTCAAAGAACGTTTGAAAAATTGGCAGGTTTAAGCTCAACTTGTCTTGGCTCATTATAACTTTACTCAAATTAGGGGGATATTCAGATTAACATTCCAATTATGGTGTCTCCAGACTTACAAATTCCTAACCTTATAAGCAATATTCATCTGAATATGCAATATGCAGTACATTTCAAAATTAATTAAAATATAATTTTTTATTTTAATATTTTTTTTAATATAAAACTTCAAATCAATACAAATAATACAGGAATGACCCTCTCAAGATTAGACACAGAACCAAACTATTATAACTAATATAATTTTATTCATTGATCAAATAAGAAATCCTAATAAAATTTGGAAGGTGAACTTGAAAAAAGTTAATAAATCTTCAAAATGGCTAGTTAGATAAACTCTCTAAATCTTCCTTACATAGCTTAATAACCATGAACTAATTACTTATGACAAACACAAAGGATTTAAACTACTAAATCCAATGGAGGAATAATCAAGTTGTACTATCAGACTCCAAAAAACAAAGATCATCGTAAATTACACACTTAGCCGAATAAAACAAAACAAATACTCCATATAAAATGGAGATATCACAAACTCCACACAAGATGGAGATAAATCACGAAAAATAACAGAAATATAAATAACATAGATCTATATAAAATAGACATATATTTGTAACTTATTTAATAAAAACATAAAAATTTAAACAAATAAAAAATAATAGGGAGGGGAATGAAATTCGCTATCAATAATAACTCTATCTATTTCAATTGATTAATTGTAATATTAGTGTATTTGTTGATCGAGATGCATGTCAAATAGAGAATAGGGAGATAAAACTGTAATTTGGAAAAAGGATAATAAAGTGAATCTAATTTTATGAGACAGATTGAGTATTAAGTTATTTCCATTAAATGAAAATTTGAGGAATTATTTACAAAAACAAGTAGTAATAATTCAAAGTCTTACTCTATTAGATTAGTTACCACATTCGACCAATTATGATTAGAGATGGAAACGTTGCAAATTCTAGATTACATATACATATTTTCATTTAAAATTTTATTACTATTTATATCAGTTTTGAACTTATTTAAATACATGTATCCAAAACTCGTTTAAAATTTTATTACCCGTATTTATTTTAAAATTGTTTAAAGTACTTTTTAAATGTACAAAGTATCTATATATTTTAAACTATTCAAATCCGAACTTATTTAAAATATATTTTATTATTAATAATGAGTGAGATACTCGTAGGTATTCATAGACTTATACTCATAGTTTTTGCGTATATGTCATGGTTAATAATTTCAAATATCCCTATCTATTTCAAATCAATTTATAATTATTCTATACTCGTTTGACGAATCGGAACGTAATAGGTATCCTAAAATATTCAGTCATATTTTCATCCCTAATTATGATGGAGTAAATTTTAGGATTTTCTATTAATATTAAAATAAGTGCTTTGGAGTTTAAAAGAGTCGCATTAAAATGAATATTTAAATATTGAAAACATTAGTTATATTTTCTTTTCGTTATTTAATTTTTGATATGATGAGGATCCAATGAATGAAAAAAAAAAAAGTTTGTTTTCTATTTTATTCCAATATCCTTTTTACTTTTCTTACTAAAAAAAAAATAATTCACACAAGAAAATTCTTATATTAGGCTCGCGAGTTATTTGAGCTTAGCTTGAAGAATGTGCAAAACAAAATTTAGTTCAAATCGAACTTGAGCTCGAGTTTGGGCTAACTATTTAGTGAACGAGTTGAGTTTGAGTTTAATAATATTCGGCTCGAAAGCTTGTCGAATCATTATTAAGTATTATCCACTTGAAATAAATAGATCCGGATTGCACTGAACTTGAATGTTCAATCGAGTTTGAGCTCATATTGCCAAATTTGTCAAGCTTCAAGTCGAATAAAAGACTATTGAGCCGAGTTTCGAGCTTGGATAATATTTGGCTCCAAAGCTTGTCGAGTTATTATTGAGCTTTTATAATATATATTAAGTATTATCCATTTGAAATAAATATATTTCCATTGCACTGAACTTAAATGGTAAGGCGAGTTTGAGCTCGTATTGCCAAATTTTTCAAGTCGAAAAGACTTTGAACGGAGTTTCATGCTTAGATAATATTTGACTCAAAAGTTTGTCGAGTCATTATTGAACTTTTATTATATATTGAGCCGAGTTTCGAGCTTGGAGATAATATTTGGCTCCAAAAGCTGTCGAGTTATTATTGAGCTTTATAATATATATTAAGTATTATCCATTTGAAATAAATATTATTTCCATTGCACTGAACTTAAATGGTTTTAAGGCGAGTTTGAGCTCGTATTGCCAAAATTTTTCAAGTCGAAAAGACTTTGACGAGTTTCATGCCTTAGATAATATTTGACTCAAAAAGTTTGTCGAGTTCATTATTGAACTTTTATTATATATATATATAATATATATATATATATATATATTATATATATATATATATATATAAAAAGTATTTATCCACTTTAAATAAATAGATTTGATTGCATTCAACTGAATTTAAGTCGAGTTTAAAGCTCATAGTGCCAAATTCGTTCAAGCGTTCAAATCGAATAAAAGACTATGAGCCAAGTTTCATGCTTTGGATAATATATATATATATATATATATATATATAATATTATATAATATATATATATAAAAGCATTATTCACTTGCAATAAATAGATATGGATTGCACTGAACTTGAATGTTAAGTCGAGTTTGAGCTTATATTGCCAAATTCGTCAAACTTCAAGTCGAATAAAAGACTATTGAATTGAGTTTTGATTTTGGTAAGCTCGAGTTCAACTCTGCTCATTTATACTCATAGTTATTGGCATGCTAAAATAAAATTAATGTGTTAAACAAGTACTATTTCGTCATTGAATTATTATATCAGTAGTTAATTGTAGTAATATTGTTTGAAAATAAAATCTATCTATACTAGTCGTAATGTTTGATTTTATATAAATATGAAAAATTAATTATTTTTTCTTTATAATATTTTTTTCTTTTTTTATTTTAAATATATATATTTATACTATAAATAAAATGTGGGAATGAGAAGAATAATGAAATTATTCTAAAACATTCTTAATGAAATTCGAGATATCTTAAAATATTTTTAGTCATAGCTAATCAAAAATTTTCAATATATATATATTATTTGAATAATTAATATATAAATAGATATATAATATAAAATAGAATATTTATACCTTTTAAGTTTTTTGAGATTTTAGAGAATTTTTTAGTTACTTTTTTAAAAAATTTTTTATTTATAACTATTAATAATTAGCATAATAAAAATATAATTAACAACTTTTAAATTTTTGATAGAAAAAATAATTATGAATTTATTAATTTTATTTATAACTAATTAATAATTACATATAAAAATATAATTACAAACTTTTAAATTTTTGGATAGAAAAAAAATATATTGAATTTATTTAAATTACAAATTTAGTTCATATAATTTAATCTATTTAAATTATTTATTTTAGATCATCAAAATTTTTTTATTGAATTTATATAAAATTTTTTAAATCTATTTAAAATTGGGTAGTAGAGTTACTTAATTGTCACGACCCAAAACCATTGGTCGGACCGGCACTAGGGCCCAGGTAAGCTTAAGACCCCCGAGACCCGTAGTAAGTCTAACTCACCTTAGTCCATTTCTTTATAGTCAATTACAGGAACAATAGCTCATAATACGACGTTATTAAATCATACTGTCGAATCATATTTCTGGCCCAACATCTATTTCTCAAATAATTTATAGGTCAGGCATGTATTTCATATATTATCCATGTCGTCTATAATATGGGCAAATTCGGCCAATCGTACTTTTAAAGTGTCAATTAGAAAATCCACAAGTTTATTGAACAACACACAAATAACTTTTACATGATAAATTATATGGGCCCCTAACTACGGAGCTCAGTATAAAGATGGATACATTTTTTTTATACACAATATTGTACATTCAAATATTAGCAAAAATTGAAAATTAATATTGTAACTCTACAGAGAAAGAAGCAGAGCCTATTTGAATCAGTAGATGTCTTCCTCCTGGAGAAAAATTTATGGAAGGGATGAGTTTCACAAATTAAGTGAATAATAATAAATAATGCATAGTCCAAACAAACACATATGATGTTTTTCACATTTATATAATGAACACACATTCGGTCAAGCGCATGTCACAATATCAGCATCCATAAATAATATCACCTTCAATTAATCAC